CCAACGAGATGGATCAGCCAGGTGACATCATTGATGGCGTCAAGTGTGGCGGCGGTAGTGAGGTTGGCCCAGGATCGGACATTGTTTTGTTCTGCTATGCATGGGGTCGCTATGAGTCGGTTCCGACTCGATGGCACCTGACAACAACTGTTGAATGATGATGCACGGCAGGGATTTTAATCATGTAATAATTGCAGTGAAATGAAATATGATAGAATGAGTGTGAAACTGATGTTCTCCTATGTAAACTATCACTCAATTAACAATAAAAACTTTTAAAAAAATGGGTGACCTTAAAATCCATAAAGGACACTTCTCTCATAGTATTTCCATTAATCTCAAATTCTTCGTAGAGCAAGCTAAGAGTGGAAGAATAGAAGGGCAGATGGACGAAGAGAAGAGAACTGCTCTTAAGCCAGCTTAGCCTTGTTTTCATGTGAGACAAACTTGTGTGCACATAGTTGATTTGGAAAGTAATGCTAGGAATCAGGGCTAAGGGAATGGTGAGAATGAACGTGGATAGAGGAGAAGCCAGGGCAAGCCTGTGCTATTAAGAAGCTATTTATACTAGGCAACAGGAGTGAGCCTGCCATCTCCTTCCAAGAGGCTTTTAGAGTACTTCTTGGAAGTGTCCACCTCAGGATGGCCAGGGAGTACCATTTGTTCTCCAGTTGATAGTCTTCATTGGTTGAGAATTGCTCCTGAGTGTGTTGCCTAGCTCCTACCCAGTGTGGCCACTTGTGTGTGTGTAGAGTGGGCTGCCTCTTGAGTCCCAGGCTATGGCATTAGGGAATTCCCATGGAAGAAAGCAAAAGACATTTACTTGAGGTGAAATGCCATCATTTATACACAGTTGGAGCCAGCACAGCACTTACTCACTGCAGCCAGGTCTGGAATTAGAGGTGAGGTCAAGAGGATATGGTTGGAAGGCAGACAAACAAGGTTCAAAGTCAAATGATAAAAAAATCAGTAGAATCCCTTTGGACCATCCTTATGTGAGTGCCAAGGCAGAGGGGATAGATGGTATATAACGAAGTCATCATCTAAAAGAAAGATAAATTGAAATGCAACTGTCAGTATTTAAAATTATCTACAATTTTCTTTAAAATCCATATGTCTGAATTTATTAAAGAACCAACAACAGTGGGTCGACATTCTGTAATCATGATAATTGGCTTAAGGTAATTGTTGTTGTTGTTGTTGTAGTGCTATCTAGTTGGTTCTGACCCATAGCGACCCTATACAGGGTGTCCGAGGAGCGACTGGTGAGCTTGAACCACCAACCTTGTGGTACAAACCGACTTTGCAGTCCAGCGCATTAATCCAGAGCACCACACCAGGACTCTGGTAGTTGCTTTTCTAGACATGCCACAATTCCTACCGCACTATTATTACCCAGCACTGAAGCTGAGTGCACGTTGTCTAGCATCACTAGCATCCTTCCCCTGTTATGTTACCTCTCTTGATTCTGTAAATATAAGAATTTGAAACCACTGCCTTAAATGAAGGAGCCCTGGCGATGCAGTGGTTAAAGTTCTCAGCTGTAACCGGAAGGTCAGCAGTTGGAACCCAACATCTGTTCCACAGGAAAAAGAGGTAGCAGTCTGCTTCCATAAAGATTTCAGCCTTGGAAATCCTATGGGGGCAGTTCTAGCCTGTCCCGTAGGATCACGATGAATCAAAATTGACTTGATGGCAATGGTTTTGGTTCTTGGTTTTGCCTTAAATGATGGAATACATTTGTGATTTTTCAGGGCATTCTAGGGCAGCTTACAGCAATGAGAACAGAAAGCCTTTTGTAGCTAGAATATAGAGGGACCTCACTAGCATTGAAGACCAGCGGAGGGTGACTTCTATTGGAAGGCTTAAGGAACCCTTGCTAATACCTGGAGATGAGTCGACTCTGTGGAGAGAACATCTGTTTTTTAGGTAGCAGATGTTCACATCAACCCAGAGCAGGACCTTTGGTAACGTCTCTTGTCACAGATCACTGCCATCCAGTCTTGAATAAGAGCTGCTGTAGAGTATTTTACCTGCCTGCCAGATGTTTTGATATGTTTGAAAAAAAAATCAGTGTTGATAAGTAGTGGTTTATCTCATGAAAAGTGTTTTTCTGATGTTGTTCTGGTATTGCTGTTTACATTTCATATTTTAGGTGTGTTCAAAGCCCCAGTGGCAGCAAACAGCACCATCATTCCATTTGAACATAAAGCAGGATGATGATATCCCAGAACAGTTTAGTGTTACAAATGAACAGTCATATGGTAAGAACTTCAATATTCTGAATTTAGATTTAAGGACATTTTCTAAAGAAAAAGATAATACAAGATTTAGTTACTAGAGTAATAAAATTGTAATACTCAAACAACATTTATATCTAGTAATAAAAATCCTCGCTAATGTTTCCTGCAGACAATATTTGATTCTTAATTATTTCAGGTCATTGTAAATTCTATAAACATTAATATTTTAGGAATTCAGATTTTTATAATAAACTGATTTATTGTAATCAAAATTTGTCTCAGAATCAAAGACTCGGGAGTTGTTGTTTTTTTCAAGAGTAGTTTTATTTACGTTGTAATTACTACCTCCAATCTTAGTTTTTAAAATTTTTTTGACTCTTATTAATTTTAGTACCCATCAAATTGATTACAGTTAATACCAACAGCTTTCATTAGCAGATTACATTCAAATTAAGTTATAATTTAATATTAACAGTTCATTGAATTGATTATAATTAAAATAGACAATTTAATATTAATAGTTTTGTGTTCTGTTTTATCATTTTAATCTTATTAATTTTCAGAAGATGCTGTATAAATATGATTAATAATATTGTGTTTATTAGCATATTAACCCAAATATAAGATGAAGCAATTGTACATTCTTGAAATAATCAGAGGTTTCTATTATGATGACATAGCAATTGGTATAGTTTAACTTCCTTATAGAAGAAAACAAAATGCACTTATGGTTACTTGAGAACATTTAATTCATTGTTAAAATGTGCTTAGCATTTTATTTTAGGCATGTAAATGGTTTGGCTTAATTTTTAAATGACTAATTTGTATTTTTCAATTTAAGCTGAATACATGGAACGTTTTGGAAAAAAAGGCAAAATACTAGACCAAATTGATGATAGTAATGCTGGACCATCTACTTCCAAATCAAAAGGCAAAACTCCATATAAAGAACGAGAAAATTTTAGAAGCACCCTTGTTAATGTTATTATGTAAGTTCCATAAACTAACCAGTACATATTATCCTAGTTAGAGCTCTTGGGAACTTTTTATGTAAAAATAATAAGGATTCTGTGCATCTCTAAGGATTCTGAACATCTCTAAGGATGTTCCAATGCCTGTTGGAATGAGGTCAGAATATAAAGAATGTAAGGAAGTTTGAGGTTAATCCTATTAAGTGTGTCCCATTTTAAAATATCATAGACTGCAAAGATATCAGTGTTAATACTTAATGTTGACTGAGAGAGTAGAATTTCTGAGAATTGTAATTATAGCTAGGATGTAAGATTTAGGGCAGGTTTTTTTTTGTTTTGTTTTTGTTTTTTTAATGTTTTGGTTGTCTGTTCAGGTGTTGTGGAGACTGTGGGTCTCCTTGTGTAGAAAAGGAATTGGGGTCAAATGTCCAACAGTGTGAGTAGGGCCAGCAATTGGTCTGGTCTGAGTTTTAGAATGGCTCACAGGGAGCAATGCAGAAGCAAGTCACTACTTCAGAACTTTGCTTGGTTTCCTCACATATCTGTACTAGTTGCTTAGTATGCCTTTAATTCATTTGGATCTCAGAGCACAAGCTGCCATTTGTGGAACAAATGGTGTTTCATGACGTATACTATAAATAATTCAGAACCCTGGACAAAGTAAAACAGAATCCTGTTTTTCAGTTGCCATGTGGCACTTTATTAGTTAGATGGCCCTCTTGAGGGGAAGACACTTGATGCTTGCAATGGGCAAGGAGGGGTATTTGTGAGTCCCACGCAGCTGGATAGAGGGTGGGTGTGTGTCTCTACTACAGTTGTTTTGAGTCTGCTTTTGTCAGTGTCACAAGGAACCCTGGTGGTATGGTGGGTTAAGTGTTGGACTGCTGACTGCAAGGTTGGAAGTTCAAAACTACCAGTTGCTCTGTGGAAGAACGATGCGTCTGTCTACTCCTGTAAAGATTTATAGCCTCGGAAACTGTAAGAGCAGCTCCACTCTGTCCCGTAGCATCGTTATGAATTGGAATTGACTTGATGGCGTGGGTACTAGGGCATTATCAGCTTGGACCACTTAGTTACTGATTTCTTGGTTTAAGTGCTTTCAAATAACGTTTGTTGTTGTTGCTAAGTGCTGTTGAGTCAGTTCCAACTGATAGCCACCCTGTATAGCGTTTCTGAGGAGCAGTTGGTGGGTTTGAAACACTGACCTTGTGGCTCAAATCTACCTGTGATCTAGTGCTTACTCTACAATGAATCACATTTGTTTTTGTTGCTAAGTGCCCTAAAATGTTGTTGTTGTTAAGTGCCGTTGAGTTGGTTCCGACCCATAGTGACCCTGTACTGGGTTTCCGAGGTTATAAATCTTTACGGGAGCATAAAGCCTCATCTTTCTCCCGCGGAGCGGCTGGTAGTTTCGAACTGTTGACCTTAGGGTTCGCAGCCCTATTCGTAACCACTATGCTACCAGAGCTCCTTAAGTGCCATAAGATAGGCAATGTAAAATAATCAACACTCAAACTAATGGAAGGGCAGGCCTCTGGTTACAATTTCTTGGAAGAAACTTTTTTCCTGCCTTGAGCCCTAGTCAAAAAGAGAGCTTTCTTGAAACAACACTCTGTGCCTTTATTTATAACTCTTTAGATAAGATTAGAGCCTGTCTTGGCTTCCAGTTTTATGCAAGGGTCACCATTTGAATTCCTTCTGAGGCCTAAGGAATCATCTTCTTCCCCATGAGGCCTTTAAATCCAAGGCGTACCAGTAGGCTTTTGCTGATTGCTGCTTCTTTCCGTCCTTTTCATTTTGTTTATATCCTGTGTATTCTGTTTCTTTCTTATTAAAGCTATGCATTTAAAGTAAGCTTTATGATAGGTTATTGCGCAATTTCTAGAATTGTACTGGGAAGTTTTCAGATTATCTTTCCTGCTAAATTGTAAGAAACAGGTTTTTTTTTTTTTGACCATTTTATGTCATTTTGTAGTTGTTCCTTTTGTAAACAAGAATATAGATGGACTTACTAAAATTCAACTGTAGAGTTACTCTACTTTAATAGCATGCTTAATCCTGTTTATATTTGTTGGTATTTTTTATAGAGGTAGATTTGACCTCTGCCAATTTATTTTGTTTTCTATTTGCTATGTTGCTTTTGTTGTTGTTGTTGTTTCTTTTTTCTTTCTTTATTTTCCTCTTTATTTTGAATTGGATTTTCTCTATTCTGTGTTTATTTTTTATTAGTTTCAAGTCTATCAGTTGTATTTCTGCTCTTTTTTAGTGGCTTCCCTACA